CACCCCCCCGCACCCCCCCGCACCCCACCCACCCACCCCCCCCGCAGGCCAAATGCAAAAAAGGCAAAAAATAAATCTCCACCCTGCAGCTGTGGCAGGCCAAAGCAATCGAAACCAAGCTCACATCCACTGCTGTTCCGACTCACCTGCCCATGCCGATCCACACCAAAACCTGCGTACCAGGATCTTTGCGATATACTTATTTCGGAATTCGTCTCTGTATTTGATCCCTCTCTTTGTCGGGCATGAAGGAAGGTGTCGACGTGAGCAATTATTGACTGTCGGAAGGAATCCATACATGCAAGTCACTGCGGGTCGTTTTAAGTTCCAATGTCTCCTAGCCTGGAAAGTCCGGAATTTATCCTTTCAAACATGGTGGCTTTCAGGGTATGGGGCCCTGATCGGCCATGGCTGTCTGTTCATGGACCTGGCACTGCCGTCGGGCGCCAGCATCCGTCTCCCACACCACGATGACTCAACAGCGGCAGAACTCGACGCTGCGCAGATCTGGCACTCCCCGCTGAATCAAAGCTGAGCGACACGTGCAAGATCCACAGACCAATGAACATAGTCGCAGCATCTCGGACGTTCTCCAAGAACGAAAGCTTCGACTGTTAGTGTACAGCACCATGATGGGGAAGCCAGATGCTGTGCCTCCTTCTGCTGCACTGATACAGAATGCATGAAACCCAGTGCCGTTGTTCACAGCGTCTTCCACCCCAACAAAGACTTTGGCTTGAAAAACTGCTGCTGTAGTAGGTTTTTAGGGCACACTACAGCCGCGACACTAAGACTCAAGATGGACTTTCATACAATGTCACATGACATGTTTACCAGCACCAGTTGCACTGAAAGCAGGAAAACCGTCATCACCGTCGCATCCGTCGCTGAACTGTCCGAAGGCATGTCTGCTCATCGGGTTGAAGCTTCCAACCGGTGACAGTCTCGTCCAGCCAGGCCGTACTGCATTTCATTGAATCTTCGCAGAGACGATGCGGGTACCATAAGTGGAATGCAATACTCGCTGAACGAACAACCCATCGTTCCCAAGCCTGCTCGGTCAATTTTCGGATATTGAGGACTGCTGAGCACTTCTGTTCCATCCAAACAAGCTTACAGCACTCCAATGGCAAACTAGCCATGCTGTCGTGGCAGTTCTGAGCCCTATTTTTGTGCGGGATGTTACACGATGCGAACCTGCAATAAATCAACGACAGCTTTCACTGAACACTTGTGCATTGATTTCAGATCCACGAATCCACGCCTGAGTGGCACCCAACACCACAAGAACCTTTTGGCTTCAGCTAGAAAGCAATTATAACAACCTGACAAACACACAAACGAGCACAAAATGCATAAGCACGAGCTAACATGGACATACAAGCCAGATGGCGCAAGCGGCTGAACCACGAGTGCTCTGTCGCGTCTGCTTCGAGTGTAAGGCGTGGGCCAACTCAAGCATGACAAACTTCACCCCTCCGAAAGTGGTCTCCCTGCTTCAATCTCAATTAGATCCGAACGAGAACAAGCCCGAAATGGCAGGTGCATGGGGCCACGCATGCTGACTGTCAGTAGACAGCCGCGGTTGCCTGTCGTTGTACATTGTAAAGTTTGCATAGCCCTGGACGACACCATCTAAGGTTGCCAATTTTTACTCATTGGCGGATGAAGGAAATGCTGAGCTGTTGGAATTCGCGAGGGAATTCATTCAAGTTTGACAACATTGCGTGGCTCGTCTTTGTTTTGAAAGTAGCATGCTTGTAGCATCCAACCCCGATTGTTCAAGATGTCCAGGTTTGATATTCATTATTACCACGATTTTTCTGCGATTTGGCGGCTGCTGCCTCACTACCGCCACATAGAGGCATAGATGGCAGTGGTTGAAGCCGTGGATTCTGGAGCCATGGACCGAACTGGGCACAGGTCGTCGCGGAGCATGCCAGGGAGTTAAAGCTGCTTCCTGGCTCTGTGGTCGGTGAGTGGAGCCTTTCAAGGCAGGTCTCGTTCTGCAGCTCTGCCTTAAGCCGTAGTCGTCGGATTCGCGCGTTAACTATGTCGCTGATCAAGAGGCCTGGTCATTTCTCGGAAGAGGAAAAGGCAGACTTCGCCCAGAAGCAGGTGGAACTGCTGTGAAGAGGTATACTGTTCCAGGTGCACATCATGTCGATATTATCATAGCTGAGTTTTGTGAGAGGATGCCGCACACGCATTGGCTTAAAGCCTTGCCGACGGTATGTAAACTTATGTTAACCAAGCGAGGCCTGGATGCAAAAGGTGCATGAGTGCATGAGCCAAGGTGGTAGCCTACAACCACGCATCACACGGATGGCCTTCGACTTGGCATGGCATATTTCCATTTACTTGCTGATTAGTCTGTTGCTCCAGTGGCAGAGGTTTTTCTGGAACTGGCATGACCATGCAGCAAGCTCAGTAGAGGAGGATCAGCATGCAAGTAGTGGTCGGCATGTGCTGAGGCCTTCTATCCGGACTGGGACCTTGAAAAGGCGCGCCAAGCCACTGTCAGTGTCATGCTTCATAGCCTCGCAATCTGCCAGGCTGTTGACAACATTTGAGCAAGTACATCCTTACACCTCGATGTGAATAGAATGTAAAGAGCTTCCTGCAAATAGCTCGTTGGAAGGCCTTTTTGCCATCTGCTTGCACAGGGGGTCTTCGGCTCTGGAAAGCTGCCCTGTCCACTGAGACAGGAGGAGTTGCAGGCATCTGCAAAAAATCTTGTTGGGAGTTCTGCGGTGTTCCGATCTTGCGGCAGGGCTTCTTGTTTCCTGCATGGGAAGGATCAGGTGGAGGGCTCAGCCTGATATGTGAATATGTGTTGCTTCATGAAAACCCCTTCCAGGCTGGAGTTCGATTCCAAGTCTGGGGCTCGACTCAGGCTGACAAGCTTAGCTTGTGTGCATTGCGAAATCACCACGTCTCTACTGGAGCCTGGAATGTGTCTGTAAGCACCAGTACTTAGGCACCCCGCTGCCAACATTGTGGCCCCGTCTGATGGGATGGGCGAGCAAGTTGAAAGATTTTTTCGGCCTCTAGTTCTGATGAGTTCTGATGTAAGGCCACGGTCACAAGCACCAAGGCATGTGCATGTCGAATGCAGTCCCGTTACAAAAAGGTCTTTGTTGGCAGGTTTGCTGCAGGCGATGTCTTGATGGCTTTGCTCCGCAAGGTCCGGTCACGCGCCCTCTGGCGCAGGCGTGGTTAGCATTGTGACATTGAGGTTTCAGTGGTTCCGTGTTCCAGTATTGGAGAATATTGGAGACGTCTTGTCAGAGCGGTTGGGAACTGTTGGGAGAGCTCCCTGATCCGTTGCCTTGCTGCGCGATGCTTCTGGCCATTGTGGTATGGCTTCTTTCGGGAACAAACACTGATGCAGCTTGTGATGCGGATCACACCTGCCTATCGAATCCGGCACTCTTGAGCCAAGCCTCTGTACAAGACCTGCGCCGACTGATTCTTTCTTGCGGACTCCGTGCGAGCGACTGCATCGAGAAGTCAGACCTTCTCGACCGTGCACGAGAAGCCATCACTCGAAAAACACAAGGGTTGTGCTTGCCCCAGGAGTGGGGAGCACCATTTGCGACACCGGCGTCGCCGCAAAAGGGGCCAAAGGGGCGCGCCCCAAAGCTTGCAAAACCAGCTCCGCCGCACAAGTTGCAGAAAGCGGAAAGCAAGAGTCTTCAATTAACATTGCTACCGCATACCGACGTGCAGGTCTCGAAAGCCTCGTCGCAGGCTCTGCGTAAACTGCTTCAACACTTCGGTTGGTCTAGCAGAGGCATTGTTGACAAGGGCGATCTCTTGCAACGAGCACTGAAAGCTCTGGCTCAGCCGAAAGCGTTGCCAAAGCCTCATCAGATTCGGTACCAAGGTCACCTAGCGCACATCTTGACGCCGAAGATTCTCAAGAAGACAGTGCGAAAAACACCTTTGCTTTTCGTCTTCCATGGAGCTGGACGCACAAAAGAAGGTGTTCAGGCATCGGTGTTGCATTTCTCCAAGGTGGCAGCCCGAAGAAAGTTACTCATCGTACTGCCCATGTCGCTTGATCGTACCTGGGACTTGAGCTTATCTTCCACAGCAGGCAGAGCTTCTGCAGACGCTGCGTTCATTGGCTACGTCCTGGATTGTCTCATGCGCGACTACTACATAGATACTGGGCGCATCGCTGTGATGGGTTTCTCGGATGGTGGGTCTTTTGCACTTAGCCTAGCTGTCAATAATCCGGGTATCTTCCAAGCCACTATGTCTTGGTCAGCTGGATATTATCTCGAAGTGGGATCAGTGCCAGAAGTTCCGTCAAGCAGGGCCAGGACCAATGTTTTTCATGGTCATGGCGATGCAGACGAGCTCTTTGACTTTCACACAGTGGCTCTGCCAATGCGCAGATCCCTCAGGAGCTCAGGCCACAAGGTGACATCGCACACTGCCAGGTCCGCAGGACATGGAGTGCCTCCGGGCTTTGCGTCGTCTGCGATAAGCTGGTGGCTTGATTTGCCGGCGGAAAGAAGCTTGCACCTGCCAGCATGAACTTCGGGGGTTCACAGTTTGGAGTGGTTCCGGAAAGTTGGGTTTTGTCGTGCGAGGCCGAACGTGAACTGATGAGACTGAAGGCAGGGCATGCTTAATGTCCACATGCATGGGTTTGTTTGAGCTGGAGGAGAGCTTAACAAAGGATACCAGCCAGTCGACGGCCAAGCTTGCGGTTGATGGATGATTCGGTAACCCGCTTGCTTTTGCTTTAACTTGGCTTCTGAGGTTTCCAGCAATGGCTCGCAAGCACTCGGAGTGCAAGTCCGCCTTGCAGCCCGGACAGATGGCGGGAGACCTTGGCACGCAACTCAGACGTGGACCACGCCTTGAGTACTCATTCCTAAACACTCTGCGAGCGGAGCACCGACGAGGATGGATTTCCAAAGGCAGCCTCGGAGATCAAGCCATGGAAGATGTCGTGCTCGCTCTCGAGGCCAGAGCAGAAACGGTAACTCTGACTGGCGGACTTGCGGGTTGGAGCCCATACATTGCCAGGTGAACGAGCTAAGCGATTTGGTCACCACAGCGCGTGGTGTGCATCTTGTGCAGAGATACGCATGATAGCTCGACGGGCATTTGCTTTGATGCAACGACCTCCTACCTCGTCCACCCTGGACCTAACCGTGATCGCACTGGCTGGACCTGTACATTGCACCCACTCTGCGCAGAGCAGATCGTGCAACCTATGTTCGTCATCACGAAGTGTCCGCGTCGTGCGAGCAGCACACAAAAGAGCCGTGCATCAAATCTCGCAAGCTAGATTTGTCAAGCTTGTCAGACTGTCATGTGCCGACACAGCAGACACGGTCTTTACGGACGAGATGAGCTACCGCTCATCCCTGGAATTTCGCCGAGAGAGGGCGTGGGTGTAGCGGTGGCCGCTCCTGCCTGAACATGGCGGCCGCAGCCTTATGCTTTTTTTAGATCCGCCGTCACAGAATCCGCACATTCACTCGCATCTGCTCCACTCGGTCAGGTGCGCACCTGGCAACATCTTCCCTCGGCCACCCTGCTAAGTCGTTTCACCTGTGGACCACAGCCTGTCCTTTTTCTGCAGTCGTCATCAAAAGTTGCATGTGCCGAGGTTGCAGCTTGGCTTCGGCCGAAGGCAAACTGTGACTTCTCGGGGGGCAGACTCACACTGAAAGGCAACATTCATAAACAAGCCCTCGCTAGGGTGCCTGGCTCATCATGCTCATTGCGGAAGTGTTTCGTGCCGTCATGTGGATGAGCTTCACTGCTTCCGAGAAGCTCTCTGCTCGTTAGCTGCTGCTGCTGCCGAAAGCATGGATCTGTGTTTTGGTCCGTTGAGCCTTGCAAAAAGCCGCCGTGTAAATTAACTCGATATGGGTCAATGGGCACGAACTCCACCTAGTGCCTGGCACAGAGATGCACAGAAGATCATACACGTGGGACTCCAACAAGCTCCAGGATGAAACCCCGGGGAGCGTGGCGGGACGTACCATGGGGGCTCACCACGTTTCTGTGGCGGAGCTATACTGGGGCATGGCATAGTCCGAACCAATTTATCTTCAGGATGGCCAGTATGCCCTCTTAGTCGTACAGCACAGTTGGATGTTCGATGGATTCAACATGGCCGCTTGCGAAGACACAGATTCAGACTGCACTGTCCCCACCTCACACGCCAGAACCAAAGCATTGAGCGAGGTGCGGATGAGGCAACTTCAGGACTTCCAGCCGTATGCCCAGGTTTTCCAAGGAGTCCCTGATGTTTGTTTTCCGAGCTGAGGTTGGGCAATGCCGTGGCTGAAGTCCTTGCTGCTTGCACCGGCAACGGACCCAGCAAACGGGTAACAACGTGATCAGATCAGGGCGACATTGGCCCGATCGTAACTCAGGTGCACACTCTCCGTCGCGGATCAGCCTGCCAGCACATCAGCAGGAGGTGCACGGAATTGCACGGAGGCAAATGCCAAGTCCACACAGACTTCACCAGACACAAGGTGGAGGAGTTGATCGCGTTCGCAACCATCCCACCCCATCAGAGATCACCGGCAATGGCTTCAGCGCGAGTCTTACAACTTGATCGTCTTCGAGTCTTATCCCACCGCTTTCAACTGCGAGAACTTCCTCGTGCTCCACAGGCTGCCCGCGCAGCACGACAACAACATCGTAAGGTTTGCTTCTCGTCATGCTTCGATGATGGGCTCCCACTGCAGTCCCTGCAAATTGCCGATCGGCTCCAAGGCGATGGAAAGAAGTAACGCATTCCGACAACAGGTGAGGCCCACGAAACTAGGCCTGCCCCGGTGTGGCGCATGTGCCAGCAAGGCCGCAGCCAAGTCATGGTCTCCATCGTCTTCGCTTCCTGTGCTTCGTGAAGGCTTTTTTTCATTATGAAACTTGCATCTCGGAGCGAGTCTTGGATCAGCGAGGTGTGGTAGAGCTTGAAGCCCATGCGGATGGGGTTGCCGATGCCGTGCATGATGCCTGGCAGGAAAGCGGATGCCTTAGGTTTGGGGGAGACCTTCGTGCCTGCTTGTGGAAGTCGAGCAGCCTCTCGTTTCCAAGGAAGCCTTCGTGCCGCAGTGCTGGAAAAGCCAAGGGTACAAGCATTGCAGGCTTTGCCAGGCAATCTGCACCGACACTGCAACACTGTGTGCTGCTGCTGGTGGCCGTCCTACAGGCATCCACAGACAGCATCCCTTAGTTTCGAGGCCTTTGACTTGTTGAGTCAGACCTTGCATCGCAGTGAGAGCGGGTTTGGCTGTGGCGTGGTGTGGCCTCGGGCAAGACCACCACCACCACCACCACCTCGCAGCATTGTGCCATGTCCACCGTGCAGGGCCAAGAATGATTCACACAATTCCACAGCGCCAATGGCCAACTGAAATGCGAAGGTGTGATCCACCTCATCATGCCATGCGTCAAAGGTCAGCTCAGGCAGGCTTGCTGAAGTTCTGAGTCTCATCGACAGTATCACAGAACCAAGAAGGTCCGCCGCCCCCATGCAAGACAATGCTTTTCGATGGATGAGCCAAGCTGTCACGCTTGGAATTGCTGGATTCCGGTTTGATGGGAGAAGCTTGTTGGTGTCAAGATGTCAGGACCGCCAAAGCAACCTCAAAGCGAAAGGCCGCGGAAGTAGCCTAAGAAATGCTCTCCCGAATGGTACTGGGCAGTATACAGCAAACTAAACAGCAGGAAGCCTTGGAGCCATGAACTGAAATGTTTCCTTCGTGGTCTGCTTTACAATGGTTCGATTCGTGCTGACTTGACAAAGAATGCTGGACAACCGGGCGGCTTGGCCCGACTAGTTGGCCCCATACTCGTAGGTCTTGTGCATCTGAAGACACCACCGCTCTTTGCAAAACCTCCAGTGACAAGAAATTGCCATGAAGCTGGATGGTTTTTGAAGCTTGATTGTGACACAATTGCCAAGACAGGGGCAGCTACGAACACGAGTTTTTGCAGGAAGGAAAGAGCAAGAGCTGCGTCGAAAAGACGCTGTGCCGGATCCTGAGTCCTCGAAAGCTAGTGCAGATTAGTTCCGCCAGGAGTAGGTCAAGCGCTCCTAGCTTTCCTAGTCGTAGTCTCGGCAAGATTCCTAATTCCGTCTGAAGCGGAAGACTTTCGGCACAGCACAGCGCGAGCAGATTCTTGTGGCATAAGGTTGGACATCACGGGATGCGAGACGTGGTTTGCTGATCTATGCAGCTTGAACAGGCCATGATTCCATGAAGCAGCTTTGCCTTGAGACTTGCTGAAGGGCTTGGCCTGCAAGGTGCAGCGTGTAGCTTCCAGTGTAGCTGTTCGCATCGGTGGCAGTTGTCGAGGTGGAGCTGCTTCCATGTCCATACCGAAGGCAGCAGACGTCGTTGGCCACGGAGCTGTTTGCTCCATGGAAGCCCATGACAGATCTTAGACATCCTAAGAGAGCTTTCGTTGTCAAGTCGTTTGCCAGTACCAGCTGTGAGTTGTATGTGCTGCCCTCGAATGTATTTGAACGTGCAGATGTGCAGACTCTTAGAGCTGCCTTGCGCAGATAACGAGTTGTAGTGCAAGTGAATTGCACTGAGTAGTGTTTTTGCAGAATTGCATGACTGACTCAGCCTCTCGGCTTACTGCCAGCCTACAATAGGTGCGCAGTTGCATGCTTTTTACTGGCTCAATCCTCTGCGGCCCAGCCCGATCACAGCTGGCTCCAGCAGGCAAAAGCATAGAGATAGGGCAGCGACGTGTTAGACAGTGCCTCGCGACAAGTGCCAACGGATGAGTTGAACATGAGCAGCAGCGCGCATTCGTCTCCACCATTGTGCACTAGGTCGAGCATGGTTCACTCACAGCATCTCGACTCGGCCAATTGGCAAACGCAAGTTTTGGTGTCAGGCAAGGCTCAAGACCATCCCGAACGGGCAAGGTCTGCACAGGCTTTCTCCTCAGTCGCCTTCCGTGCACGTGGCAGAGCCTCTTCAGCATTCTCGCGCGCTTCGTGGTGATTTGCTGAGGCGTAGGTTTGTTGATGCAATGTTTTCTGAAGACTATCCTGCCCTGGGCTCAGTTTCGGCAGTCCACCACGGTGCTCATTGTTCGAATTCCACCTGTGAGCCCCATGCCAAGCTCCCGCCCCGTGTCATGAATTTCAACACCCCCTTCAGATGCTTAAGAGTTTCAACATGGCTCGCCCCATGTACCAGGCGACATCAGTCGACAAGGCGCTTGGCCGCCATCCGTTTTCTTGCCCTTACTTACCGCACCCGCCAACCGGGAGGTAATGTCGATCTCGTGCGAGATTGGGTGCTCCTAGCCTGACATCAAAAGCGCAAAGCATTGAAACGAGACATCATCCAAGATGGTGTGTGTTTGTCAAACGCAAAGAAGTTCCACCCTTGAAGCCTGCACCTTTGCAAAAGTTTTTTTTTGGCCGGATCGTGTTCAAGCGAAGCGAAACATGCACAGGCAGCGTATCATGAGTCATGCTTCGCACATGAGAAACTGCTTTCGTGCACTAAGCCTGTCTTCTTCACTTGTGGAGTTCGCGGAATTCAACACACTCCCCCAGATGTCAAGCAAGTCTTTGTTTCGCAGCCTCGCACACAACGCTTAGGGCAAAACCCAGTGCCAGATGCCATACCCGTGGACACCACTGAAGTCAGCGCAGAAAGACACAACGAATGGTTGCCAACCTTGAGGGCAAACAACCTTGCATGCTTGAGAGAGGGTGCTTACATTCCAATGACCAAGGTTGGCAACTCGTGTAATGCTATCAAGGTGGCATGGAGAAGGACTTCGGGACTTTTGCAGCACCTGGCACTACCATGTCAGGATCCGATGTTGGCAACATTGCAGCGCAGCATATCTGCCGAGCCAGGGGCTTCGCTGAAAAGACAGAGCGAGTTTGCATGTTGCTTGGGTTCAGCGACAGTTCGTGCGGTCGTTTCCAACGTGCGTGAGGCTTGAAGGGACGCTGCTGAGAGCATTGGAGATGGGTGTCCAGAAGGTACGCCAGTAGTGCACGCACCTGGCTTAGATGCCAGCATTGGTGCAAAGGCCGCCGAGGTCTTCGGGAAGCATGTGGATGTCGATGCCGTTCACCGTGTCAATTGTGTCACGGAGATCGAGGCAAACGTCTTGCATAGGGCAGAGGCAGAGGTGGCACCATGCTGCGAAACAGTGAGTTGAAGCGGAGGCTACAAGACTCGCAACCAAGTCTTCCAGTGGCCTGGTTCTTGGCAGGGATGAATTTGCTGTGCGGTAAAGTGGTGGTGCTCGGCACGCTTGCGCTCTTGAGGGTGGAGCGAAATCGTAGTGAAATCGTGATGTTAAGCGGCCTGCAGCGGTGTGCACATGTTCCACAACATGTCAGTTCACGTTCTTGTCCATCCGACAGTACGCACGGTGGCTTGTGGGCCAGTTGTGCGTAGACGCGTCAGTGGTTGTGCGTCCATCAGGGGATACTTATGCCACACCCTGGTTATTCGCCTGCCGACTGAGGATTAACTGTGCGCATTGGCGGATGTCTCAGATGCACGGGTCTTGTAGACCTTGTCGGATTGAGGCACAGGGTGTGCTCAGGGGTTCGGCAATTGGGCTTCGACACTGCGGAACAATGCGAGAAGCTGCGAGGACGTCAAACCGCCTACACGGATGCCCTTGGCGGGAATCGGCACCACTTCCAACCCAAGGCAACAAATTGCACAGTCCATGTGCGAGAGACATGGCAGCGACAGCGATGACAGCATAAATCCCCTAATGACCCTGCCTCGCAACAGGGGCAGTTCGGTGTCGTGTTGCGACTTTTGTGTCTGTCGGTCGGGTTTTGGGCTCAGTGCTGCGTTTGAGGATTGGGTACAGGTGACGGGTTTGGTTTTGGTGTTTGGTCAGCGTTGGGTTCGAGGGTCAGGGGCTGGGGATCCGGGTTTACGGGCGTTTGTTTTCTGTATGAAGCTTGGGGTTTGATTTGCGGGGTTTGGGTTTTGGGTGGGTGTTGGCCCTTGGATTTGTGATGTTTGGCCCTGTCTTCTCGAGCTAATTGGACGAATGTGGTTGCATGGTTGCCCGCGTGCTTCTTCGCTGGTGTAGAGTATTGTTGGTTGCAGCCAGTGCCGTCGATCGGAAGAAACATTGAAGGCTCGCTCCTAATTCGACAGTTGTCCAAAAACACCCTCGCATTGTTTTTTCCAGGCGCTGAATCTTAATATGATAAATGATAAATGATGCTTAAAGACCGTGCACGCAAGGTCCGCGGAAGCGCAGCCCAAGGGAAGCGCAGGGTCTAAAGCTAAGGTTGTCATGTGTGTGTGTGTGTGCGTGTGTGTGTGTGTGTGTGCGTGTGTGTTTACATGTACGTGTGTGTATAGCCGTGTGTATATATATATATTGTATATATAAAAAAATATGTATAGAAACGTACATAAGCTACCCCCCCTCCGGTACCTAGGTTTTCGTCGTTACGCTGATGCTTTGCTTAATTGAGCCGAGGGACGGGCATTTCTGAGTTGCGGATGTTGTGTCCAAAGTCTGTGCCGAAAGCAACCTATGTGTTTGCTTGAGCATCAGAAGCAAGCACGAAAGAAGTCGGACAGAAAAGGCTGCGAGTGCATGCGCACGCAGAAAGAAGCAAGGGTTATGTCACGATGCCGGTGGTCGCGAGGAGCCGACATACGGTAGTGAGCGAGTGGGGGACATGGCGAAGCAGGCCTACTGAAGCGCACTAAAACAAAGAGCTGCATGGCATGGGATCACACCGTAGCATTCCCGTGGCCACCCACGCAGATTTCGTATCAGGGTGGATGGTGACGATGTTTAGTTGGCGGCCGTTATGGCACACACACACACGTCCATTGAACTTCCACTTGTTTATACACAACAAAGTCAGTGTTGTTCGGCGGGTTTTGCAGTCTGTTACACGAATTAGTGACTTCATTGCTTAATGTAATCAGATACGGAATAAGCCGTAGTGTCAGATAGTGTCATTCTACCTGTTGCAAACTTTAGACTTCGCACCACTGCACAATATTTCATGCATCAAATTAGCAGTCAATAGCAAGACTGGTAGCAGTTCGTGACACTTGCCTTCAGAATCCGATCACAGTTTCTTTTCTCAGCCATGTCTAAACTGCTACATAATCTGCTCTTCTATGTCGAGTTCAGAAAATCAAGTGTGGCTTTAGTATTACACTGGCCAATTCATAGCGAGGTCACCCGAGGTCACCCGAAAATAGTGGAATTAACGACCCGACCTGACTTGAAATTAAGCTGCCGACCTGACTCTTATAATTTCGTTCGCATCGCACGCTGCCATCCGAAAGCTATTGCAAAAGACCCAGCACTACGTGTTAAACTATATGTAGTCTAAAAAATAGGAAGAAGGCCCAGGAATGTTCAAAAGAGATGCGCCTCGAGAAGCTGCAGCTGGTCAGGTGATGGAGGACAGCCGAGGGTACAAGAGTAGAAACGAGTCGAAAGCCCAAGCCTAGTCAAGATGCGCGTTGAGCACGCTAAGGTAGCATGGAACAAGGAATGCCACCAAAAAACAGGACTAATTCATTGAAGCAGGTCCTTTTTGGGGGGTTTGAGTCTGTCTGGGCTTCTTTTGGAGTTTTGAGCTTTCCAAGATAGCTGGAGCCAGGAAAACCACCAAAACAAGCCTATTTCAATGAAATAGGTCCGTTTTGGTGGTTTTGGGGGTTGCCATGAGGCGTCTTCTTTTGGAGTGTTGAGCTTTCCAAGATGGCTGGAGCCAGGAAAACCACCAAAACAAGCCTATTTCAATGAAATAGGTCCGTTTTGGTGGTTTTGGGTGTTGCCATGAGGCGTCTTCTTTTTGAGTGTTGAGCTTTCCAAGATAGCTGGAGCCAAGAAAACCAGCAAAACAAGCCTATTTCAATGAAATAGGTCCGTTTTTTTGGTGGTTTTTGGGTGTTGCCATGAGGCGTCTTCTTTTAGAGTGTTGATTGAGCTTTCCAAGATGGCTGGAGCCAAGAAAACCAGCAAAACAAGCCTGTTTCAATGAAATAGGTCCGTTTTGGTGGTTTTTGGGTGTTGCCATGAGGCGTCTTCTTTTGGAGTGTTGAGCTTTCCAAGATGGCTGGAGCCAGGAAAACCACCAAAACAAGCCTATTTCAATGAAATAAGTCCGTTTCGGTGGTTTTTGGGTGTTGCCGTGAGGCGTCTTCTTTTGGAGCTTTGAGCTTTGCAAGATGGCTGGAGCCAAGAAAACCAGCAAAACAA